AGCACATTTATGCGTATGACTGATTGATGTAATTACAGAGCAACAAAGCAGTGCGCTTAAAATCTGTTTCAACTTGTTTAATTAACAGATATCTAGTTCTGCCTGCAGGATAAATACTGACAAAATAATTTTAAACCAAACAAGATGATGAGAAATCATACATCAATGTTCAACGGTCATACATTTTAAGTTAAAATCCTCCATTTTTGACATTTTGCAAACATTTGGCAACATTGTGAAATAAGCTTATACATCTTGTAGTCATTTGAAGAAAACAAAACCCGACGTTTTATTTTATTTTTTCATAAAATGTCTCCAAATTAAACAGGATGTCTGTGTATTATCGGAGTCTTTTTGTGTCTGATCCCTAATTTCCGGTCTAAAGTGTGAGAGATGCATGAGAAGAGGGGGTGACGAGAGGAAGAGGCAGAGGTTGTGTCGACTGTGAAGTGACAGTCAGGTTACGTAAATGTGAAGTAAAGCCAGTGAGGACAGCAGTCTCATTGGACTGGAACAAAAAAATATGCGTCACAGTCCAAAATCAATTCCCATTGATCCTCCACAGTGGAATGATCTACGAAAARCTCATTGGGAGTCAAAGGTACACGACATACCCTCAATTAGAACCCCTGTTTTAAGGAAAGACAATGCAACAAAGGCAAGTGAAAAAAAAAACATCCATACATGTTTATTTTACAGGAAGGGCACATTAGTTTCTTGTACAAACCGTAAACTAAATGGTTTTAATCTTTGACATCACTTTTATGGATGAACACCAGAAACATGTACATAAATTTAATACATAAACTGTCATTGGCTGTTGCACATTTTACTGCACGTTTTAATCCCACAATGGAGAAATTATACAGCATTTTAAGTTTGCTACACACGTTAAGGATTCTAAAAGATAGAAAGCACTTGTGTTCATCWCAACATTTTTGAACATCGCTACACAGTACATCCCCGCAAACCCCAAGCCTTTATTACTGCCATTTTTAAAATTTTTAATCCATATTTGTCTCATWACTGAGGTTGAGGTAGGGATTCTGTCYTCACTTTAGCAAGTTAAATGAGGTGAAACATCATCATTAAAAAAAGGTCTACATTAAGCAGCTCAGATCGATGTCTGGATGCTCTGACTGACTGATTCTGTGCTGTCAGATTAGRCACACGCCATGTTTGCTACCCTGACTGAAAGACCAAGTTCCATCACCGTTGCTCCCGAACAGCAACATGTATCAACCGGAAACATTCTGCACTTTTTGTATATTTGCAGTTTAAAAAGGTTTGACCTACAAAGAGGCTTACGTTGTTGACCTTCAGAGAGACATCTGAACTGGAGGTTTTATAAATGTCCACACTAAAAACGTCTGGGTTGAAAACAACCCAACTTTCGGTCAAATTTGGACCTTGCCAAACTTGGGTAGTTTTGACTCAGCAAAGTTGGGTTGTCAGTTTGACCCAGTTAAGTTTTTAACCTAAACATGTGGTTAAATTGATCAATTTGTTGAAGTAAAGCTACTAAAATATGTACACTAAAATGTACCACAAATTTGGGGTATTAGATAATTACAACATGGGCTAGCAAGTTGGCCCTACCTAGCCAACAACTAATGCTTTTTTAGGAACCAACGCTGGCTGTCTAGTGCAGGGGTCTGCAACAAGCGGCTCTGGGGCCACATGTGGCTCTTTGGTTCCTCTGCAGTGGCTCTTTATATTGTTTTTTTATACTCACAACAGAAATCAATTTGTAAGCAAATATGTGATCAATACTACTAATACAAAAGATAAAACATGTTAGCTCATGCTAGCCTGGTGTTTACTTTAACAATTCAACTTATTTCTATGATATTTCTCTCAAATCCATCAGAGTTACCTTTAAAGAATTTGAAAACTACATAATAATAATAAGTATTAGAAAAAATACCTGAATAGTTCAGTTGACCTAGTTTTTATGAAATTTAATAAAAACTACATACAATAATTTTCTTGTTTATATGAATATGGTCTTTTCATTTGTCCTGATGTGCAAAAATATTAAATAATAAAATTCACAATATACTGTATTTTTTATTTTCATAATGTCACTGGCCATAAAGGTTCCTGAAAAGGCCTCGAAAAGGCCCACGATCCACCAGTTGATAATCGCAGTTGTAGCTTGTTTTGCGACTCTGAACACATTTTATTAGTGAGCCAAGTAGCAGAAATGGCTCTTTGTAAAGGTTGCAGACCCCTGATCTAGTGCAAACTAAAACTYAAAACAAAGCCAACCTGTTTAAATAGTTTCATGGAAGTTTTTATCTTTGACTATTAAAAATRAAAGAGAGTCAAGTAAGGTCTAATTTGGTCAGTTTCTTAGTTAAACTGAGTCAAACCTTTTGATCCAATATCGGGCAATTAAGTTACCTAAATAACCCATCAGTTTTTAGTGTGTATACAAACAGCATATATGAGAATCACTGTGTAAGTCTGAAGACCTCAGAAGAAATGGCAGGTTAATTTCATTAAAAGTGCCCATGCTGTCTAAACCACCAAACACAGATTTACTCACAGCATGTGTTGAAGTACAGCCACATTCAGCCAGAAAAAAAAGGTAAAGAAAACACTTTAAAAAAAACTGTTGGGAGCTTTGATTTGGCGCTTTGACTTAGATTACAGAACGGAAACAGTCGGATCTGTCTGCTGAATAATAAATTCCCATCTTCGCTAACGTTGCGAGAAGTCTTCACGTCGACAGAGGCAGCCAAGAGAAAACAGAAAGAGACAGAGGAGGAAGGAGGTGTGGGGAGCGAGGAGGGTTGGGAGGAGGAACAGTCCTCCCCAAGGCAGTTTTCTTTCATGTCCCAATCCTGAAGGATTAGCCTCACTTTGTGTTTTATCACATGTTGGAGCTGGCGTGTGTTGAGAAATAATTATGGAGTGAATGTTGAGGAGCTGGTGTAAGGAGGGGAGCAGGGAGGGAGGCTGAGGCGATGGAGATGATCAGATGTAAACGAGATGGATTAGAGAGCGTAAGTGGAAGCCACAGCATGTGGTACCTTTTGTACCTTGAGCGCCTCTTATATCAAATTAAATAACCATAGGCTGCTAATCCAAATTGCACTTTACAAACATCAAATTCCAGCCTGACAGAGCAGCACGTGGGAGGTTGCAGGGCAGCACAGAGGACAATGAGGGTGCTTTCGTGGCACAAMCCAAAGCAACATATTGAGTTAAAAGCTTTCCCTTGCTTTGCTGCCATCTAGACAYCATTGGATTTTCCACTGCAGGAAAATCAAATGCTTTATTCAAGACCAATTGCTTTCTATTGAATTGTCTCTCTCTGTCTCTGATGTACAACAGTTTCACGCCTTCGTGGACACAAACAGCATGCTGTGAACGCTCAGCCTACAATGTCAGAAAGAATGCTGCTAACTTTCCCCAGCAACACCGAAAGGACTGGAAAGAGTCAAAGTGCAAACTTTGACTTGTGAGCTAATTAAATGTGATGGTTATGTGTGCACATACAGTACATTACATAACAACGCCATTTGCTTTATATGAAAATAAAATATAAATTATGTTTTATATGATTCAAAGAGTGACAGTGAATAAATCTTTTCATTGTGTTCCTTTTTTCTTGGGTTTATTTTTCTTAGTTGTTATGTAACCTATGTAACAAAAGGTTTCTATTTCAAAAAGAAAATATGAATCTAAAGGTTAAAAAAACACATTTTGCTGCTTCACTTGTRTCTTGCTCTGAATCACTGCTCTGACTCATAATACTTATTGTTGTGCTCATAAATCCAAGCTTTTGAAGAGAGGTTCTATAGAAATGTTGTGAAAAATTAATATTTTAACTGTTCAATAACCTCTGTTTGCAGAAACAGTTGAAATCTGACCAAACTGATGAGCTAACAAAGTGGATTMCTCCAGCTCAAAGGTAGACATCACTTTGATTATTTAATTCAGATATATACTCATAAGTTTCATATTTGTTTATTTACATGGAATTCTGTAGCAGATTGCAAGTACAAATAGTGGCAGCTCTTGTAGTTTCTGCAGCAGGAATATTATAAAAAAATGCTGCCAGAACAAGCATGTAATATAAAACTGGTGGTAATGTAAATATTAAACTTTGAGACTGGAGTTATTTTAGGATAAACAAAAAAGCTGCTAGCCATTAGCTTGTCAGTTAAGTTAAAATTAAACTCAATTTCTTCAATTTGAGGGTGCTCAAAAAGTTATCTACAACTGGTAAGATAATGATTGTTTGCAACCTCTCCACGGAACCCCACTTCATAAAAACTGAACTATTCATTTACTGATTCCCAAAGCTTAGAGCTGTTTAAACACTGTGGAAACAGGACTAATTACAAGCAAACTATTTCAAATTTCATGTATTATTACATACAGCTGAATTTTAGCAGTTTATATGTTGTCAAATTAATATTGGGAGTATTTTTAATAAACTCATTGTGTTCATTTTGTTGTGTATGTCATTAGGGCTAATCCTAATAGCTRTTTGTCGAACTGCAGCTGTTCAAATGCACAAAACACATCTGGTACCTCAGGGGTAATCTTCATAATGGTGTTTTGTGTGTGACTCTACCTCTGAAAACAGACTGACTGTCACACTGCATGCTCCACATCATCCCTACAGCACTGCACAGCTCCCAGCTTGAGTAATTTACAAAATCTGATGTCTGTAAGTTTGCAAAAGGTCACTAAGTGTCACTTGCATTTCGGCTGAGTGAACCTGCTGCTTCGCCTCCTCTCTACAAATGCAAAAGWTTTCCGTTTGAATATTTGCATTCGTATTCTGATTTGTAAACCGCCTTGTACTTGCCAAGCAGAGTCCCATCAAATCCYCCTCAAGTGGGCAGATTTAGGACCTAAAATGGAGGGCTGCCAAAGGAGATGGTGTGGAGACAGAAAGACAGAATTAAGAGGAACGGTGTCGCAAAATAGCCTGTTGATGGCGAGGGACAGAGGGCACGTGAAGGAGAAAGGAGGAAATATAGATGAGACGCAAATGAATTGCTTTACTAAAATGCAGCAGAGATGGAGACAAAGTTGATTAAAAAGAAAAAAAGAAGGCAACAAYGTCAAAAAATGGGGGGAAATTCAGATGAGACAAAGTGTTCGGCCCTGGCTTGCCGAGGATCGAAGAGAAACAGGATACGGGGAACGGAAATTCAACCACAACAGTCATTTTTCCACTTCCACGCCTTTCTCTTTTCCACTTAAAGTTGGACCTCACATTTGACTTTTATATAATCTAAGAAATATTTAACCCCTGCTTCATTTAGCCTGAATCAGAACACTGCTCTTTAAAAAATCAAACAAATTGCAATTATAATACAGGTGTTCATTTTGCAACAAAATTGTTTCAAATTTCAAATAACTGCAATAAGTAACTTATTTTACTGCAATAACTTACCCCCATTGTTCTCTCCTTCATGAAACACATACAAAGCTCCTACCTATATGATATTTTACTAACACTACATTTTCTTTCTTCTTTGAATATATTCTCTTACAGAATAGTGACATTACCGTAGATTATACACATGCAGGAGTATACATCTTTGAAAACATGTAAAAATGTATACAAATGCATTGTTTTTCTGCTTTAATGTACATGTTTTCAACATTTATCATCAAATGTATAATTTCATCAATAAATGCTGAAAGTATTTTGCAGATAGTTATATCCAGAATAAAGTGCCTTTACTTGAAAACATTCTGTAGGGTTTTTTTTTGTTTGTTTGTTTGTTTTGTTTTTCCTCGTATTTTTGCTGACAGTCTTAGTCCTGTCACTTGGTTATATTTTTGTTATATTCTCAGAAATGTTTTTAATATTTCTTCATACCATTCTCCCATGTGGGCTTTTCTTTCAGCTCTTCGCAGTTTCGTATTTTTTTATCCATCTTTGCCAAACATTTTCTCAACATGTCACAGTTTTATGCTGCCCGTTCTGAGTCATGGGATTGATCTTTTCCAGAGTGACCTCAGTGTCGCTGTCCAAATTCCCAGAAATGGCTGGGGAGGGTTTCTCTAGAGTGTTGTTGCCCGTTTCGACKTCCATCACCCCCCCTCTGCATCCGTCTTTCTTCTGTAACTCCTCCTCCTGACACAGGATGCTGTGGGGGATCACGTAACCTCCCGAGTTGTTGCCCTCCTTCGGGATSTGGCTCTTGGGCTGATACTGAGAGTTGGGGTTGGAGGCGGGGGCGCCCATGTTGTTGTTAATACTGACGATCTCGATGGCGTTGCTCCCCGGGCAGAGCCGGTGGCAGCCCAGGAGGATGGAGAAGGCCTTGCGGAAGTCTGCGTTGAAGGCATAGATGATGGGGTTGAGGGAGGAGTTCGCCCAGCCGAACCACACAAACACATCGAAGGTGGTGGAGCTGATGCAGGGGAACTCCGTGGACCCGTCTGGCAGGTTGACCTCGCAGAACGGAACCATGCAGTTCAGGATGAAGAAGGGCAACCAGCAGCACACAAACACACCCATGATMACCGAGAGTGTCTTCAACACCTTGGTTTCTCGCTTGAACGACATTTTAAAGGAGCTCTCGCTGTCCATGTTCGAACTGTTCCCCATGCTGCTGTGGCGGTTTTTGGCACTCTCCGCCGCTCGCTCCAGGGCMGAGATTCTCCGGATCTGTTTCTGAGCGATGCGGTAGATCCGGGTGTAGGTGACGAGCATGATCGCCACAGGGATGTAGAAGCTGATGAAGGAGGAGGAGATGGCGTAGGTTCTGTTAAGACTGAAGTCACAGTTGTCGTCGGGGGGCAGGTCACTGGTGCCGTTGAGCTCTGTGTAGCTGGTGGTTTCAGCTTTATGCCAGTTAAGCTGAACTGGGATGAAGGAGATGAGCAGAGAGAGGGTCCACGCCACACTGATCATCAGACACGCCACTTTCGGGGTCATCTTCCGTTCGTAACGGAACGGGCTGGAGATGGCCCAGTAACGATCGACACTGATGACACACAGGTTCAAGATGGAGGCAGTGGAACACATGATGTCAAACGCAACCCAGACATTGCAGAAAGCTCCGAACGGCCAAAACCCCACAATCTCCATGGCCGCCTTCCATGGCATTACCAAAATCGCGACCAGAAGGTCAGAGATAGCCAAAGAGATGACGAACAGGTTCGTGACCTTCGACCTCAGGTGTCGAAACTTGGTGACGGCGACGCACACGAGGGTGTTGCCCAACAGCGTGGTGAAGATGAGCAGGGAGAGAAAGCATCCTGTCAGAACGCGTTTGGATGAGTCTCGCTCCGGCGTGAGCTGCTTGCCATCTCGTACGGTTGAGAAATTTGCATCCATTGTTTTTAGTGCCCTGCTTGTAAAGCGAGAGAAGGGGGGTGGGTGAAAGGGGATGTCAGCAGTCACCCCATCACATCCCCAGCCCTGCAGCAGCTGCGCCTCTGTCGGGAGCTTTAGATGGACGCCGTCACTGGCGGAGAACTGAACTGTCTCGGCACCAGCTCTCCCACTGACTGGGTTATCCTCAGGCTTCTTGTCACAACCACCATTTTCATGCAAGCACCGCTATAAATGTTTRACAAAATCTCCCTTCAGAAATCCGGGTCCCCAAAATGCCAAGTTCACAGAATTCTGCATCAGATGAACCGAGAGTCGTCATTCTAGTTTGTAGAGTGGGGAGAATTTRCCAGCTTTTCTTTGCTTTTCTTCTTCAAGTTAACAGTTTCTTCATGAAATTTTCTGAAACAAACAAACAAAAAACATATAATTCAAGAAAAGTCCTTCATTTCTCCTCTGTCTATGGCATGCTGCATCTGCAAAGCCTTGGGCAAAAGTTTCACAGCATGTTGTTGCTGAGCTTTTGAGTCAAAAGAGGTTTTGCCAATCATTAGGCTTATATACCACCACATCAATACCTCATATTGATGGTTTTCGTGCTGCGTTTATCTGATTTGCTTAATGATCTTTGAGGCGTGTCTCTGTGATTACTGGTCCCTGGATCCACCCCATTAGATGCTTTTAAAAATTATAATGTTTTCTATTTTTAAAACAATGAAAGTCTTTCTGTTGGCACACTATAACAACTTTTCTGTCAGCATTCTGAGCAAAAAATATAATAAAATAAAATAATAATAATGGTTTAGGACTCCTAACATCCCATTTTAAGGCAGATAAAATGCATATTAATAAGCAAAACATTTTAAAAGTGCTCAAGGCTGGTTTCACAGTAAAGGTAAATTCCTCGTGAGTTTTCTGGCCATTTGTGCCAACAAGGATGGCATCTGCTTTTCTTTCAAAAATTACATTTTCTGACCAACCACCTGAATTTAATCTGTCCTTGAAAAACAAGCGCTTCATCTGCTCCTGCTGAGTTTTTCTGCCCAAAAGCGTGCGCCTCGCTGCGTGACAAGGTGGACATTTAGAGACACTGAGGCGTATTTGGATAGGATTTAAACTCTGACCTAAAACTCAACCCCTTATTCAACAAATGTTAAAAAAAATATTTCACCTTAAATCGACCTCAACTTGTGTTTTTATGAAGTTAATGTAAAAGGGCTCACCTTTTCTGTGCGCTCTTCCACGGGGAGTCTGTGTTGACGCGGTCCTCGGGTCTTTTATGACTCCTTTCCGCTTTTCTCGTGCTTGCCAGCGTCATCCTTTGTTGTGCAACATTCAGCCTGGCAGTTCTGCGATGTGACAACGGGTGTGACCGGCCGCCGGAGAGTGATGGGAATGATTCTGATCTCTCCAAGAGCGCTGCCGCGCGCGCCCCTCTCTCTCTCCGCTCCGCTGCTGCTGTGCGCCACGGTCTCTGCCACATCTGCTCCATTCAGGGAGATTGCCAGGGCAAAGTCATGTAAGCTCAACCTACACGGCTTACCTAAATAGTTTAAGCTGTATGACTTTTCTTTTTTTTTAAGTTTGTGTCAAAAATCATCAGGACTAAAACTGCAGAGAAGCTTTCTTGTCCTTGAAATGACTTGTAAAAAATYCTAACATGGTTTTTTTTCTATTTTTGTAGACATCATTGCTGGTCATTTACACCAAATAGCTGCTGAAAAGATAAGATGAAAAGTTAAAGGATGAGCTAAAAAAGAATTGTCCAAACATCCTGCGTTGAACCTGCTTCCAGTAGAGGCCCAATGAGGCCATCTACTGGATGCAAAGATAGCAGGAGAGTTGCTTCTGAGTGAGCTGAAGCCACGAAAAATTACCATCACCTGAATAAACATGACCTCTAAATCTGAACTAGCTGAGACTCCACAGCAGGGAGGGGCATGAAATCAGTGTGGAGGCATGAAATCAGTGTGGAGGCATGAAATCAGTGTGGAGGCATGAAATCAGTGTGGAGGCATGAAA